GAAAGCAACATTCACAGCAGTGGGAGGAGCCTAGAAGAGAGGGAAAACAACATTCACAGAAGTGGGAGGAGCCTAGAAGAGAGGAAAACCAACATTCATACAGAGGAGGGAGACCATTCTCCCCGAACCAACCTCCTCCTGTTGGCTTGAATGATGAAGATTTCCCCGCTGAAACTCAACGCAGCCGGCGCTTTACCTCCACAGGGTTCAGAAGGGGCGGCACACAAAGCCGCCACCACATTGGTAGGGGTGAGGGTGAATCAAGCGAAGATTGGTCTGCTGGGCCTGAAGATAACCGGGAAATGCGACGCTATAATAATAACAATAACAATAATAATAACAACAGCAATAACATGCATTATGAATACCAGCCGGTTGGGCAACACAACAATAAGTCAGGCAACTCTGGTGTTCCAGCAGCATACAGCTCTCAAAATGCTGCACCGAGATATAGAGAGACAGGACATTCTAGACGTGGAAGCCGTAGTAATTTTCACGAGCGGAGAGGCACTGCCAATTATGATTAAAGATGGTAAGTATGTGTTCTGGAGTGACAGGTTTCTGCTATATGTTTTGTTTGTCAGGTTTGGACCAGTTATTTTGTTCACTGATTTACACGCCTGTGGTTGGTTCGAGCAGACCATTCTTAGAGGGGAAAATGCAAAGGAACTCGAACCCGATCTTGAATATTATTGTCATCTTCTCCATGTTCACCGTCATTGGATGATTTCAAAGAAAGAAGGTTTGGGGTTTGAATTTATTTGAGAGCACATAGATCTCTGATTCTTGTTTCAGTTTTTTTTTGTGGTTCCTCTCGTGCCGCCGTACTTGATTTATACACCGTATAATGTTATTCACATTCTCTATTTTTCATCATTTTAGTGTAATTTCAACTTTCATGGAGCAAGTCCCACTCGTAGTAGTGTTGGGCACGGTATTTCGGTTCCGATCTCCCAAATCTTGAACTTTAACTTGTTCCTTGGGCCACTCGGGCAAGGTTAAATCAATGTTGACACCGGACTTTGACATCATGTGTTTCACCAACATGCAGTGAAGTGGAACACATGGTGTCAAATTTGGTATGATTGTAGCATAGTTCTATAGGAATGCTTATGTTTCTAGAAGTTTTGCCTTTTTAAATTGAAAAAAAGTATTACCCTCATCAAAATAATCTTTTTATGTGGCTAGTGTTTGTATTGTTGGAGACTTCGAATTATTTTGGGTTTTAAAAAAATCCTTATTTCGGTTTACGATATTTGATTGAAATTATTTTTATATCATTTTATATAAAAAATTGTACATAACTAAATAATAAAAATTGCATATTTAAGAATTAGAAAAAATCTGCAAAACTAGTGTGATATAATTATATTATTTTATTAAATGATTTACGAAAATAGAAAAAAAAGTGAATGAAATTTGACTTTCTGAGTAGTAAACATGTAATTTAATTAGGGACGGAGAGAGTAATAAAGTTTTCCTCTTTTCTATGTAGAAAATTTAAAAGTATAGAAGTCATTGATATAAAATTGATATAACTTGAATAGAAAGTAAAATATTCTCGTCCCGAAACTAAAGTTTTTGTACTTAGTTAAAGTAATATGGAGTAGTCATATCACTTCTTATTTTAAGAATGGGATATTAAACATGAATTTATAAATTTTAATTCAAAATTTGTATTACTCCGTATTATTTTAATAAACTTAATTAAAAAAAGTTTGAACTTAATTTTTGCAATTGAATTTTAGTCACGGGCCACAATAGCAGGTCTTACAAAAATAATGTCTAGGGATGGTGGGTGTGCTTTGACCTTACCTATACTAAAATAGAGAGGCTTTTTTGAGTATTAGAAAGGGGAGTATATAATCATAGCAAGTTAAAGGAAAATTTTCTTATCATTCTCATGGAAGTTCGAATTAGAACGGGACCAAAACTATAGCATTAGTGATTAGATTTTTTTTAGAAAAAAAAAAGTAAATCTAGTTAAATAAGATTAACAAAACATTAAACATGAATCAAAATATTGCCTCTTATAGTTCTCTCATTGAAATAGAAAAATTGCTACGTAATATTATGATTTAGCATCTTATCTTAACTATATATAGATACTCTTTACTCTTTAGCATTATAAATGCAATTTTGATATAATCACATTGAAAATTATATTTTGATTTATTGAATATATTATAATTCTAATCACGCATGTTTCCATCTTACTTAGGGCATCTCCAATGGTGCCTCAAATCCTTACTCTTTTTGAGTTTTATACTCTCCTGCTCACAAACTCGAATTTGAGTATGTTTGCTTTGTTTTTGATATATCGAGTATAATAAAAAGATAACTTTAACAATAAACTTAAAGAATGAAATTACTCAATTTAGTAAAAATACTGAAATTTCACGAAAAGTCAATAATATTATTATACGGAGTAATAATAGAAATAAATCATGAAATGCAAAATAGATAAGAGTAATTTGCCTAAATAGGACTAAATCATAATGACTTTCTGAGTATAGGACCATATGTTTTTATTTCTCCATGTAGGACTTTTGGTCATTATCAAGTACTCCCTCCGTCCCACTTTAAATTGCCTGTTTGCCTTTTTTCTCCGTCCCAAAATAAGTTGCCTGTTACTTGTTTTCGTAAACTTTTAAAAATAAAATACCTAAACTACCTCTAAAATAAGTCAATCTTCTCCACATTATATTCTCATTCATCATCATCCCTCCTAAAAAGTATTGACAATTTTGGAAAATCAACTCTATTTTTAATTTTCATTAAATATGTCCAAAAGTCAAAACAGGCAATTTAAAACGGGACGGAGGGAGTAGTCATTATTCAAGTAAATGTCCATCATTACTGGACATTATTCCTCTCACAAGGTCATTATTAAGTCCTATTTAGGAAATAAAAAAGTTTAAGTCCTACATTAGAAAAGTCATTATGTTTGAATCATATTTAGTGCAAATTTCATAATAGAAAAATAAGTTGGTAATATTTATAAAATATAAAAAGTATAGAGAAAATTAATAAATGTGGTGAGAATATTTTTTTGAGTTTGAGTTTGAGTTTAGAGTAATTAATTGGAGACGAACAATTGTTTGATTTGATATTTATTGCATTTTGAGATTGAGTTTATTGTATACTATTGGAGATGGCCTTACCATGTTATGTTTCATTCACTATTTTTATATATATTTTCGTTAGTCATTTGATAAAATAAAATAATTATATTACTACTAATTTTGTAGATCTTTTGATGTACTATTTTAGTATACTATTTTTATTTTTTAATTCTACACCAATTCAGATGAAAAGAGTATCTTTTTCCGTTTGTTATTAGTAAGATAATAATAGAACATTCCAGAATAAACCAAGTTAGTAATTGGATATCAGCACCTTTATATACATGTGATTTGCGGTAATGAATATTTTAGCATACTCCATAAAAAGTGAAAAGTGAAAAAAAATCCCAGAGCAGTAATTTAAATTAAATATATGAACAATGAAAGTGAGATTTATTTAGGGGGAGGGGGGGAAACTACAATTTCAAAAAACAGAAGAGAACAACAATAACATAAATATTGACAGCAACAAAGTTACAAACCCATGGATTCCCTGGTCCGGCCAAGACAAAAACCACTGGCCACCCAGTTTGGGGTACTAACTTACAATATTAACTAATACAAGGACTGACTCAGTAAATAACCACTCTGCATTTTCAAAAAACATCATGCAGCTGGCCCCCACCCTTACGTCATCACATGCCACCTGGACCACTAAGAAAAAAGAAAAAAAAAGAAGTTCGAAACGTTTTACAGCGATTCCCAATCGATCTCATTGGACGGGTATTTATGAAGATCCGAACACATGTCCCACGTGGACTCCTCCTCCGCGAATTGCGGGAACGTTAGATCCGAGAGCGGAGACGACCCGGAATCCGACCCGTAGCTCTCGGACCCACCTTCCCCAGCCAGACTGCTCTTGAGATCTTCAGACGCGGCCTCTTCCTTCGGCTTTCTCGGGTTCGGCTTCGGGTTCCTTGAATCGGCGACGCCGCCGTTCTCCGCCATGTTCCGGCAGATGGCTTGCAGCTTGGCGTCGACGTTGGACTGGAGCGGCCTGAACTCGCCGAATTCGCCGCGGATGACGGAGCCGCTGTGGCGGAGGTTCGGGAAATTGAGCCGGGCGGCGTCGCCTCTCAGCTTGTACGCCGCGCTGTCGTAGGCGAGCGCCGCCTCCTCCGCCGTGTCGAAGGTTCCGAGCCAGAGCCGGGTCCGGCTCTTCGGCAAGCGGATCTCGGCGACCCACTTGCCCCAGTGCCGCTGTCTGACGCCGCGGTACAGGTTCGCCGGCTTCGGCGGCGCCGCCGCCGCGGTCGGCTTCATGGGTACCGGCTTCGGCGCCAGAAAGCTCGAGTTCGGAACACGGTGAGCCCACTGGATCTGATCAGAAGAAGAAGGAGAAGAGCCCAACAGTTGCTGGGCCTGAAGCCCGATCTGGGTCTGGATCTGGTTGATCTGGACAGTCGTCAGCGGGTTGAGCCCAATAGAGCCCAACTGCTCAATGTCGCAACCCGAAAACCCAGTTTCGAACCCCCGAGTAGAGGTGGAAGGATACGAAGAAGAAGAAGATGATGAATAAGAAGGTGAGGGCGACGCGCTTCTCATAAAAGGCCCAAGCGCGTCCATGAGATCCCCGCCGCCATTAAAAGGCTGCTCATAAGAACGGAGATCTACGCCCACACTACTCCACAGATCCAAGGTAGCCGCCATGAAAGCTCTGTTCTGAACAAAATCAAGTTAAAATTTCAAGAAGAAACGGAAAACCAGAGGTTCTCAAATAACAAAGAAACCCCTTAGCTTTTTCCCCTTTAAATTCTACAGATCAAACGCCGGAGGGACAACAAATACGCCCTCGGAGCAGATCTGACCGGAGAAACTACTGAGAAAATTAAAAAAAAAACAGATCTTGATTTCTCAAAACAGGGGAATTGAAACCCAAAAAATAAAATAAAAATGATCAATTACAGAAGAAGAAAAAAGGGATTTTTGAAAGGAAAGAAAAGAGAAAGGGGTTTGATTTGTGTTTGTGAAGTGTGTGCGAGTGTGAGGGAAGATAAAGTGGGTGGGTGGGTGTGTGTATCTCTCTCGGCCTCACTTCTCTGGGTCTTCTTTTTCATTGCACCAGATGTGTTTATATAGAAGCTTCCTGGCCAACAATGGAGTTTACGGCTTCTTAATTACCCCGTAATAATCATTTCTTTAAGCGTAATTATACTAGTCCCTGTAATAATACTCCGTAATAATTATGGAGTAATAATGATCTGGTTTAAGTTGTTAACTTTTCACCTCGTCTTGTGCTACCCTGTCTCAGCTCTGCGTCATTTTTACTCACCAAAGGGGACCCTAGTTTTTGGGCCTAACAAGTATGCTTTCTTTTTACCAAATTTGAAAAGAAGTATTATTGGGTAAAAAACAAAATATTCCCTTCATCTCTATTTTGAATATAAAATAAAAATTATGAAGTAAAATTTTATGATTTTTAAAATTATTTTTTTATAAATTAATATATCGATAAGAAATAAAAAATTCGTAGTACATGTTAAATATAATATCAAAAATTCTACAAGACGAGAGATGACAAAAAAATTTTATTTTATCAAATAATCAATAAAAACCTACAAACAAGCAAAAATTATCGAAAAGAGAGAAATCATAAAATTGTAACCAAAATAAGCACATATGGGGTATGAGTATTCATTTATGGAGTAAAACTAAAACATATACTTTCTTCTGTTTAAAAATTTTCTTTCATACTTAGTTTTCAAGGTCAAATTTATTTTAAATATTTCTTTATTTTTAGTACTCATTTTAATACTACGACAATGTTCGTTTGACCTAGAATAAAAAATGCCGTGAGAATATCGAAATGTTTTGGTACATTTATTGTGTTCCATTGATAAAATTGATTTCTTCCATACAACCAATTCAGTATTCATGTTGTTAGCATTAGACCATATTCCGTTCAATTTACTTTTTCTGTTTTTTTTCTTATTCTTTCTGAAATCTGATCATATCAGATCAGATTAGATCAGATCAGACCAGATCTAATCAGATCAAATCCAATCAGATCAGACCAGATCAAGTCTATATAAGAATTACTATTATTATTATTTTTATTTTAAATTTTATACTTTTTACTTGTTTTACTTGATACGATTTTTTCAAAAAATAAATTTAATTTCTTTTGAAAAAGTATAAGAAGAAAGAAAATGAAACTTTTGTGCGATGATAATTTATGTAGAGAAAAATAAAATAATATGAAGCACAATTTTTCGCTATTTGTAATTGAAGATAATAATTCTAATTTCGTTGTTTGATAGCACAAAAATATGTGAATTTAGAAGTAATAGTGTCAAAAATGAATTGAAATTGGAGAATTCAATTCCATCTAAATCAATTTAATAGAATTTCAAATTTCAATTCAATTTTAATTTCGTTAATTCCGTGTACCAAACAACCATAATAGTAATTCTGATTTGAAGTGCAAGTGGATACAAAACGCGATAAGAACGAATAATTAGAGTGTGTTTTAGCCGCTAATATTTTACTGTACAGACTACCCATAGGAATACGAATATTATTATTTTTTGACTAATATATGCGTCTATGTCCTCATCCTACGTTATTATTGTGTCTATTTTTGAATATTTGTCCTGTTTTAATTTTTTTATAATTAAAATTGATAAATGTTGACCAAATACTATTATTTTTCCAATCAATAGACCAAATAATTTTTATTTAATCCAAAGTCAAATATTGATAATAGTTGATTGCAAAAAGTCAAAACTGAACAAAAATATTTAGAGTAGTAAGATTTAATCCTTCATGATACAATTTGATAATAACTTGTCTTATTGAATATTGAGAGATATGACCCTATATATAGGGAATACAAGAATAATCAAAATACAAGTAGGAAAGAAAAGAATAATCCTAGTAGGAAAGGAAAGAAGTATCCTAATTTAATTATACTTCCTAATATCCCCCCGCAAGCTGATCAATGGAGACGAGGGGCAGCTTGGAACATAAGTACTCAAAAGGAACTGGCGGAAGCGGTTTGGTAAGAATGTCTGCTAGCTGCTCTGAGGAGGAAACATGATGTGGAGTCATAGTGTCTGCCATAACCTCATCTCGTACAAAGTGACAGTCTGTGCCCACATGCTTCATGCGATCATGAAGAACCGGATTTTTGGTGACACAGATAGTCGACTCATTGTCACAGTATAACCTCGGTTTGGACGGAGGAATACCCAGCGCATCAGTGATATATCGAAGCCACATAGCTTCTGCAACCCCTGCAGCCATAGCTCGATATTCAGCTTCAGTGGATGATCTAGAAACACGAGTCTGCTTTTTCGTGCACCAAGAGATGATATTAGGACCGAGTAGGAGTATGTAGCCCGTGGTAGACTTGCGATCATCTTTATCATTGGCCCAGTCAGAGTCAGAGTAGACAGATAGGTCGAATCCCCCCTTGCGAAAAAGAAGACCATGATTCAAAGTGCCTTTGAGATAGCGCAGAACGCGTTGCAAGGCATGATAGTCCTGCTCAGTGGGGTTGTGCATAGTCTGAGACACTCGATTAACAGCATACTGAATGTCTGGACGAGTGACAGCCAAGTAATGTAAACCGCCAACAATGCTCCGAAAATGAGAAATATCCTTGAAAGGCAACGAAGGCTTAGTGATAGGTCTCGTAGCCATAGGAGTAATAGCCGGATGACAGTCGGACATCCCAGCTCGGCGTAGAAGATCACGGGCATATTTGGATTGATGGAGAAGTATAGAATCTTGCGTGCGCTGAACCTCAATGCCAAGGAAGTAATGAAGAGGTCCAAGTTCTTTGAGCTTGAAGTCACGGTGCATGGCCTGAGTAACT